GAGGGAAAGAGGACAGCCAGTGGGTTCCTAAGCACAAAGGAGCCTCTCTAAAAGGTTGGCTCCACAGACAAAGACAAGTGCTGCAGCCCTGCCACTGCCACATGTCCTGACAGGTCAACCACAAGCCTTTGTCACATAACATCACATATGGGTATCTCACTCCAGGAGGTCCCCTGATTCCATTTTTAAGGACAAATATACACAAGGGGCAAACACCTTTGGGAGGTGCTCAGAGTTCCGCAGCTCCAAGTCAGTGATGTAGTTTTTTCATTTGGTACCAGGGTTTACGCTGGCAGGACATGTGCAGGAGAAAAGCTATTGAATGCAGGGATGTTCATTTACAAATCTGGATAAAAGAACACACGCTAGCACGATCCCCTTCAGATGTTTCAAATTAGGCACTGACATACCAAAGCACTTTTGGTTGCTTGTGAACACAATGCTTGTACTTTACTGCCACTTTACTTTGACTCAAGGTCAAAGAGAACAAATGAGACCAAAATATATAAAGTAAATGCTCCTAAAAATTATCAAAATGAAAAAGGAACACTGACTCTGCAGAAGTTCTTGCCTTGCAAAGAGTAATAATAACATTTCTGAAAAGTAAGAGGCATTCATGTCAGACAGTCAGGGAAAGAAAATGGACTAGAACTGTCACTCCATTCTTTGAGATTTGAGAATAGGCTATAATGAACCTGTAGTTGAGATCAGCTATAAAAGTTGTGAGGGAGACAGGATGGAAGCAACCAAGAAAGAATGGCAAAACACTCAACAGCAGGACTTTCAGAATGGCAAAAATAATAAAAATGATCACCAAGTGATCTGCGAATTGGGATGAGTCCTCTGTTAGCGGTCAGTCTCACCTTACTCCCGTATCAGAACAGGACTAGCAAATGATCAGTTTTCATTAAGTACATTATAATTTGGACTCTCAGTTAAGTCTTTGTTTACAGTATCAGCACAAGAGCTAAGAGAGAGACCATTGGGAAGCATGAGGCAAACTGGTGATAAATCCACCCGCTAGCAAAGAGCTGTCTCTGCTTTAAACTCTACCCCTGCCTGCAAACGTGCCCCCCGGCTACCGCTGGGCTAGTTTCGCTTGGAGCAGTGTCTGTGTGTGGCACTGTGCACCCACAAATGATCATGGTCAGGCCTGCTGGAATTCAGGGGTCCTGTTAATGGGGAGGGAGAAGGGTCAAGGCAACCAGCCACTTCCACAAACTCATGCCTTTTGCCCGTGAACTCCAAATCAGCATTTCCAGGTTTGAGTGACAAACATACAGCTCCTCATTCAAACACAGCTCAGTGATCCATGTCAGTGCAAAAGAAATTCTCCAGGTCTAAAATCCTCATTGTTATTCACACAATACAAAGAATAATACTTATTTCAGGCAAGCTAAACACCAGCCAGTTCTGTAGATGACTTTCTACTCCCTTCTCTCCATGCACAGGCATCCCCATTAAGGCTTTCAACTTTGCATGGCTTGAGGAGAGTCACTTTTTCTGAAACTCAGGACTTGCCTGATTCACCTCTCAGTAGCTAAGGACTGCCCCTGCAGAGCTACAAGAAGGCGACAGGTACCAACAGCTAGAAATCATCTACCTGTAGAAGATAAAGGAGTGCTGGAGCAAACAATGTGAGAGGGTAGAGTGACTGGTATGTTGCTAAGGCCAGGAAGACAGCACTGAGGAAGGCACTACCTGTAAAGAAAAACAAAACCAAACATTCATTCACAGGGAACATTTAATACAAACAGCCTTACAGACAGGAAATCCAAATGGGAAGAAATGCATAACATTCTGCAGGGGCTTTATAAATATCAGAATACCACTTAACAGTGTTTTTAGCAGAATGTATCCTTTTCGTAACTATGTACTGAATGGAGAATGGCTCATACCAAGGTGATTGTCCCACAAAAAAGAACTGCTGAGTGGTTTACATCTCTTATCACTCAGATACAGAAAGAGATGCATGTAATTCAGCCTCTATATAGACCATGCTGGCTGCTGTTGATGCACGGGAATGTGTCCACCAAGCCATATCCACATGAAATGGCTACTACACTCATACTGGACATGGTGAATAACCTCATCACCAGAACATGTCAGGACCCTCAGCAAAGCTCTGTGAAAGCGAGCACAGGAGTGTCTGCAGCGGAAGGAATTAACCCCACTTTACAGATACCAAAACTAAGGCATGCTGGCTGCTGTTGATGCACGGGAATGTGTCCACCAAGCCATATCCACATGAAATGGCTACTACACTCATACTGGACATGGTGAATAACCTCATCACCAGAACATGTCAGGACCCTCAGCAAAGCTCTGTGAAAGCGAGCACAGGAGTGTCTGCAGCGGAAGGAATTAACCCCACTTTACAGATACCAAAACTGAGGCATAGAAAGGATTAGCACAGCTTTTCTAAGTGGTCTTAAAAAATACGAATGCCTTTACTGAGGAAGCGATCTTCGAGGTGTCTCAGGTTGAGCTAAGCGCTGAGTACTCACACTGCCCAACTGCCAACAGCAGAAATCAAGTCCAAAAGGTCCCAGGTTAAACAGCAAAAGTACAAGCACCCAGTGCAGTAGCCTGGTTATAGCTTTTATTCTTACGTCACCAGATGGAAGTCATCTGTAAAAATGCAGCTTAGAGAGCAAGAACCCTGACTCAGTGCCTAACTGTCAGCCTACTGACATCAAGCACTCGGTTCGCTTCCTTCTGCTTCCACCTTTTGAAAGTGGGTTACCTGGTGATAAGCCTTCTCCATTCTTCAACTCCACTCTCCCAGACAGAAACCTCCCTAGCCTCTGTTTTACCGAGTGTTCAGTTCTGCAGAGATCTGAAGAACTGATACCCAGAAATCACAGCCATAATCTGATATCCTCTCTTTGCCCACTTTAAAACCTAGAGGCTGCCACAGTCAGGAAGAAAACACAGGGAACAGCCACTATAGTTTTGTCTATGACTGAACTATTTATTTTATCGTATCATTGAACAGTTAAAAATCAGTTTAACTAAACGAACCTCACTTGGTTGCTTTTGCAAACGCTTTTAAATCGATTGGAGGAAAACTTCATTTTGGAAACACTAACAAAAACAATCTATATCAGCTTTCTTTGCAACGTCTGGGTATGGGCACTACTGGAGATGAGAGATCAGGCTGACCTTTCCTCTGATCCAGCAGAGAACTCCTAAAACTTATGTGACCAGCACAAATCACATATGCTAAAAGACTTCAGCGCTGGGGAGTCATAAAAGAAACAGAAACCTGGCATTACGCACAAATGAATGAAACAGCTCTTCTGCCTTAATCTATTCAACTGTGCCAGTATGGGGCTTTGGTTACTGTTTCTGCTTCCCCAAAGCTCAATTAGCTAATTTCAAACCAAGGTTACAAGTGTGAGTAAAAGCCAAATAATAGCTGCAGGCAACCACTTGCTTTTGAACAAAAGTTCAAAGATACACTTTGAAAATAAATTGTATGCAACACCTTAAGTGCATATCCATGCACTAAAGAGAGCTGCAGAGCATTATGTCCTCCTACACACAGACACGCACTTCTTCATGAAGAGAAAACAATTTAAAGTCACCCAGGAAAAGGAGTCAGTTTTTAGAGATAAAAACTCCTAGGTACACTGAGGTGAAAGTAAGTTTTGACTTGACTAAAAAGGCTCTTGATCTCGTGATTTCAGGTAGAACTTTGACCTTGCTCCAGCCCTGTTTCTGCTGTGTTTTACCAAGATCCTTGCAGCAATCGTATCTGTAAAGTTCCACCTTGACTTAATTTCTGCTACTTTTCTAATCTTTACAGAAAGTTATAAAGAACCATTTTTTCTTCATTGCGTTACCTTTCATTGTAGCTAAAATGAAGAATGAAATGACAGTATTGTTGATGGCGCAGGTGGACTTTGCCACACAAGACATCACAGTGTAGGGGTTTAACAGGTAGCTGAAAAAAAGCAAAGCTCAAGTTACATCCAAAGGGCCGAGCACCTAATTAAAGAGGCAATCAAGGGAAAACCAGATGCACTTTGCCATTTCTTTGTGTTTGTTTACATTTGATGGGATCCTGTCATCATCAGATTAACTCAGCTGAACAGGTTCTTTAGTTTGGAGCAAAAACCCAGTCTTTGGAGCCTTGGACACAGTGGCCACATGGAGCTTGCTGGTGAAAAGAGACAGTTGGGAAGATGTCTAAAATGCAAGAACTATCCTTGAAAACAACTATCAAAAATGTTTCTTGCGTTGCAGAAACACTGTGCATTTATTCAGTCAGACCAAGGATTATTGGGTCCAAAGTAAATTTTCTGTTACTCACATCTACTGGCTCTGAGAAAGTAATAAAAACAAGAAGATAGCAAAATGGAAACAAATCCTGAGATTCTAGCAGAGTTTTCCCCAACCCAATTGCACCTGCACAGTCTTGCTATGGCAGAGCAATCATTTATGTTCACTGTGACACTGCTGAGCACAAAACCTTCCAGCTATGAAATCTGGCATATTTTAATTCGAATTATGGAAAGACAGCAAACTCTGAACCTTCCAGAATGCAGCCACACTTCAGTTAGTAAGGATGCCAGCTCCTTTTGGAAATGAGAATAACACCAATCTCATTTAACTAGGTTCAGAGCACAGAAAAATGTGTGGAAGGATTACCAATTCAGTAAGTAAGATAATGTACTGATCAACCTTGCTAATAACTAAATCAATCATCAGAAGGAGTACACAGGGCTGATGAGTTTCTAATTATCTCTTTACATTCTACCTACTTCTCAGAGTCCCAGTCTGCCTTTTTCTGTGTTTCCACAGACAGCCTACAGCTGGAGAGGTACAATTTAAGGCCTACTTTGCTGTGGTAACGTGCAACATTAAATACAAAACAGTCTGCAATTTACTGACCCTACCTTCCTCACTCTGGGAAATTAACCATTTTACAAAATTCATATGAAAATAAATAAAAAGTAACTTATATAATGGAAAACTCTCTCTGACACAGAATAATTCACAGTGATTTATTCATGTCAAAACCCCAGTGAAAAAAAATTATTTGACATTAAGTACCCTGCTTATATATTATTTATTTTAGTTGAAGCTTTCTGGAATAAAAAAAAAGGTTTAGTATACAGAGGAACACCAAGACATGACATTATTAAGAGGACAACCTGAAAACACCTTTGAAATGTTATAAGCAGTTCTGGGATCTTCAAGCTGTGATATTCAGCAAACACTTTGTCCAACTGCTAAAAAATTCCCCTAACTTTTCTGAAAAGCCACCTGAGACATTTGGGAGGCACAGAATCCATTCTGACAACATGAGCATACAGGCAAAATAAATGGGAATGTGATCTGAGCAGACATAACATTCCCACTACCAAATCAATGACCTTATGCTGTTGAGCCTGTCTTAGAGGGCCCAAGTGAATTACTTGGTGGCAAGAAGCACTTTGAAAAGTATCTGCACTTTCAAGCTGAGTATTCAAAGCTGGGGGGAATTTTTACATATAATAGGAAATTCAAAATTAATTTCGGGGGGGGCGGGAAATCTTCAACCAATGTTGAAGCCCGCAATCAGACAAATAAAACCCCAAGGGAGCTGAGGAACCCAAGCAGCCTGCAAGAGGCAATACTTACAACAGTGCTACCTTGAGGGGGATGTAGTGCATTTCCATAGGCGTCCGGATGAGTTCAGCCACATCTGGCGCATATTTATCCAGTTCTATTAGGAGCTTTTGCTTTTTGAACTGAACAAGGGAGAATGACCAAAGACTGTCAGAGGAGGAAAGTCATTATTTCTTATTCCTCTCCATTACTGCAGAACATACATGAGCCCCAGGTGTGAACCAAACCTCATGTTACATGAGCTGGTGTACAAACAGAACAAAAATTCCCTCTCTTTTCTCAAATACTCAAGAACTGAAGTGGAAGTCAGGAGAAAGCAGATAATCCCTACCTATTTGAATTTCCTTAATTACCTGTGTCTAGCTCCTGACATAGGTGACTGTGAATTCACCACACTAGAGTTTAATACTTTCAATCTTCCAAAAGCCTCTCTGGATCTTCAATGAAAAGCTGACTTTAGAAAGTCACTGTTCAACATACAAGCACCTGAGAAACCAAGTCACAGAAGTACGCAGTCTTTATTATTTTGAAGACGGGTACCTCTGTGCCAAATCTCCTTTAGGGAGACCAAATCCCTCTCTCATCTATCTTATTCTAGGATGTTGTCTATGGAGACAAGAGAAATCTGAACTATGGGCCTACTGAGCTATGTCATGGTGAGACAGGAGGAGAGATGCTAGCAATAAACCCTCAACGAGCAAAATAACTGACATGTAAGGTTTTTACATGTCTGCAGTTCCATCATGAGTTATTTCTTCAACCTCAAAGTCAGAGACCAAGGAACAAGCACATATCTGGATGAGAGACCACACAGATGCTGTAGAAAATGCAGCCTCCCTGTTCATGTTGATACTGAATCACTGTCCCTCTGGGACCGCAGAGCACAGCACTGCTTACACAAAACGTTCTTAGAGCTACTTATGAGAAAGAGCTGTGAGGAATCACTCACCTCCAAATACATGTGCCTGTAATTTGAAGGGAACAATTAATACTTGGTGTCAAATTTTCACCTTGCTCTGCAGAATGATTTATATGACGTCAGCATCCTTGGAAGGTTTTATTCCTTCCTTTACACATTTCCAGTCTGTGTATTAACTCATGCTGCGTGCTAACACAAACCCTGTTCAAGGTAAAACACTCCAGGCTGTAGCTACAAACTGTACAGAAGGCTGGAGCAGGGGTGAGAGAAGGGAGTGCTCAAGTCTTGCCAAATCCATAGCCCAGTGATTAAATTCTGCATGCTGCAAACTGCCCAAACAACTGAGGGTTAGTTTTCAGTACACGTTCTAAAAATCTCACATCTTCTCTTGTGTCCTGTGACCCTAGACTTGTCTGCATTTCACTGGCTCCTGCATTCTCACAAATCTCTCAAATTCCTTATACTCCCTTCTGATCAAAGAATCTTCACCACTGTGATCATCACTCCACTGCAGGGTGGTAGCTATAGACATTAACTTGTTTCATAGTGTAATACGGCCTCAGCAAAACTTAAAATACCTCAGTTGTTTACCACATTCAGTCCCCATGTTTACTGATCATCCAGATACAGTCAGATTTACTCCAACAAGGACTGGTGGATACTGCATCCTCTGGCATGCTTTTTTTTTTTTTTGGAACAAGATGATTATACTTGCTGTGAGAAGAGGACCAGCAACACTGGCAAGTCAGCTTACCACAACTCTGTTGAAGTCCTGGATGGCCAAGTAAAGGGCAACAGCAGTTAGCACGTCAGTTATCTAAGAAAGCAAGGCACAGACAGACTGACTGTAAACAAAATAAATGAATGGAGAAAAAGATACTGGACAGCACTGCAATGCTGAATAAGGATCTGATCTGACTCAGCTCACGGGAATTAAAAACAAGCTTCAAAAACACTAGGCTGCTTGTGCTCACACACCAACGCTTAACCTTGAAGCCATGAACTGTATCAAAGATACAATATTTACAAAACAAGAGGATGGGGAATTAAGGGGAAAGAAATTATTCATGGAAAGAAGTATGCAAGGGTAATAGAGAGAATCACTGGTCTAATGAGAGTACAGGCAACACAGGGACAGTGCCCAGCTGGCTATATCCACCTGCCCATTTAATCCAGCACGACAGTGCCTTGAGCTGTCCCAACCTACCAGGCAGCAGTAGAGTCACCTGAACACTCGGCACAAGCACAGCGCAGATGGCTGGCAGCTCTGCCCGAGCCCTGCCCAGCAGGGTCTGAGGAGAAGGCTCCACCAGGTGGCATGGGCAGCCAGCTGTATGATTTCTGTCCTTCTGAATTACGCTGAACTCCGAGAACCCTTGACAAGAGACATTTGGAGGACTAACCCATTAGTGCTGTACTTGCAGGCCTTGGGTTTGGCAGTGGGTTTTAATGAGAAATACTGCAGTGTAGGCATTAGGCTGGGGGGATAAAATATTCTGACCTGTAAGAGGTAACCTTTGAAATCTGAAGCCAAATGCCAACTTCCCCTCCCTCTGCAAGGATGCTTCCCTAACCAAGAACTCACAAAAATAAGGAATACGTATAACAGGGAAAAGCCTGAACATGGGTTTGTACAGAACAACCTGCCTTTCTAATTAAACAGCAGGAACCTGAAATACAGGGAGGCTGAAGGCCCCCGATCCTTGCAGGAGTAAAGGGAAAGTAATTTCACAAAATGGGACCTTTCAAGAGGAGCTTTCCAGGACCACTTACCATGAACACCAATTCAGCATACTCAATCAGGAAGTGGAAGAGATATATTATCAGTGGGGTCTAAAAGAGAGCAGAATGGAAACCCATGTCAAATACCGTCCAGATAAAACAACTGGTGATTTGATGAGAAAAATGGAGCAGTACTAGGAGAGACTGCAAAAGGTAATTTTCCTTCTGCTCTTCTACAATGCTGTTGCTTCAGAGTAAAGTGATCAAACAAAGCACACTTAAGTGTTCTTTTTCCTTGCAAAGTTCTCAATACAGTTTTTAAAAAATGCCGTGAACCTTGAAAAATATATTCTATTCCAGTTTTTCAACTAGAATAATGGTAGAGTTACCATAGAAAGCATATAAAGAACAGCTTTAGAAAATATTTTTTTCTAGAGAACCTATTTTTTCAAGTTGTTTGCAGGTACATTGGAAAGTATTTCCTACATAGCTGATTTCATTGTTTAGCCTGTTGTTTAGGTGAGTCTTTTCTAAAGCAAAAAAAAGAAACCATGCTAAAAATATAGGACTGTAGTCCTATTGCTTTATCATCCTCTCACTTCCACAGCATTTCCCTGCTAGGGTAAGAGGAAGAGCATGTTTCTGAATTATTACTTTGACAGAAAGGCTTAATCTGTAAGTATTACACTTAGATGGTGTAAAACCAGTCTTCACTGTAGAGAAAATACATTTATTTTGAAATATTTTTAAAATAATGTAATGGTATAAATAAGTATGGGAATATATTTCAGTCTGGGAGAAAACTGGGTTTACAGAAGGAGAATTTATTGAAGAGAAGCACGTTTTCAGAGGCATACAAAGTAGCTGCTTCACCCCTAGGTGACTCTATGAGAGTGTACCTTCCTATCAGTAAGGAAACTCAAGGGTACAAAAACTCCACAGGTGCTTAAGTGTTTGGAGGAACGAGGTGTTTTCAAGATAAGGAATAAATGTACTGCATGCCTGTGCTAATGTTAACAGCTCTGCAAATGAAGAAACTCAAGGTGCTGCTATACAGTAAAATTGCCTTCAGACTCACAATGACACTGTCTCTCCCTGCCCCAGCATCTGCTGACAGAAACAACTGTATGTGAACAGAGTACTCTACTTATGACAGATTTCCGCTATTTCAGGCTCTCCTTATGCAGTAATAAATATTACGATGTCTGTCATCTGCACAGCAACGAGTTATTCCGTGACAAACTGCATTTCCTCACTATGCTCATCATTACATATACTATCGCGCAGACAACTGCACAACTCCAAGTTCTCTGAAGTCTTCGGGACAAGACAGGTCCCCAGCCTTTGACAGCCCACGAGCAGTAAGAACTAAGAAACATGCCATTTGAATATCCCTTTTAAAATGCAGCATGCATACTGACCTCATGGAAAACAGCTCCAGAATATGGCGAGACCCCTAAATCCAGCAGTGATAATCCTTCGACCACTGAAACATACAAAATGCCTGCATTAGAATCCTCCACTGAAAAAAATCTCACGATGGTAAAACTACAGTTTTTAGAACACCCATGCTTGTAAGTCTCACGCTGAATCACCGTCTGAATGGGTGACTCAAAATCTCACAAAGCCAACAACCAGCTAGGATTGACTGTTTTCTTACTTCTGCCATGCAAATTTATTTAGTAACTGAATGACCAGTTGTAATCTATTTATTTGATTCAGCTAAAAATGTTATAGCTAAAATGTTTTGCACTTAACTATATATAAATCGTGTATGATATTTACTGATTTTAAGTCACCTATTATGTAGTACCTGGTATCTACACTGGAGAAATACTTCATTCTAAGAGGACAAACCATGACATAACATACATTATTAGCCTTGATTAAACTGTACCTCAGTCTTCAGAAGAGAATTTGAATCATGTTGGTAACAACGTGTGGGGCCACAAACACAAGAAGGAAAAGAAAACGGCTGTGCATGAACTGTGAACCACGCAGTCGAGTTCGCACCAGGAGACAGTGCTTGTGCAGTGTAATGACAGTGACTCAATGAAGGCTGCTGAAACTACATATTCAGTAGCAGATTTTGTCATTCTTCCATGTTACCTGTATTTGTGACAGTCGGTCAGCACAAGAGCAGCCAAGGCAGCTCTACACAATGGCTAACCCTCCGTGCTCCTGCCTCCGGCCCCGTCTCCCTCCCGCACCTTGCAGCCGCCGAACACTCGCTCTTCCCCCGGGGACAACACGCGCACTCCCTTCGCTCGGGCCGGAGAGGTGGGCCCCGTCCCCAGCGCCCCCAGCGCCGGGGCTGCAGCCCCTCT